ACAGTCTCCACAGGGTAGCTCCTTCTTCTCCTGCACAGTGGAAGGAGGGCCCAGAAGTCAAGGGTTAGAGGCTTAGCCTCTACTTTCCAAGAGCAGGCACTGTGAGGAGAGTAGCCTGCTCCGCATAATGTGGCTGGAACAGATTATTTCCCATTGAGGACAAGGGTGCAACTATAGCAGCCACAAATAGTGTTGTCCCTCTCTTAGGACTGGGCTGAACCAAAGGAAGACTCTGGAGCTGTAGAATGGCCTAGTCTTCCATCAGGTCAGAGCATTTCAGACACAGGGACCTGTACAAGTTTCCCTGCAAAATAGCGTAGCACTTAACACCAGAAAATGAACTGCCACCATTAAAATACACAGACATCCAAGCTTTGGTGTATCACTCTGGCAAAATTGGTAGGTCATATATGGATTTAAAGACAAATGTGGAATGCAGGTGAAATTTAACTTCTCTTGCATGCTGATTGTAAGAAATGTATTTCTGTCCGTGGTGCTGTTTTTGTGAGTCCCTTTCCCTTTCCCAGGTGCCACAGTAGGTTTACTATGAGTTCTGCAGCCCATGTGTTGCAGTCTCTCTTTTTAGAAGCCTCTTGTTCCCCAGATCCTGGATTTTCCTGAGCTGCACATGCGTAAATGCATGAGCCACTGCTTGTACACAATTGCCCGCTTAGCCTGGGTTCTGCTATTGCAGTTGTGTGCACAATTTGGAGTTTTGCATGTGCAAATACATAGCTGCTTAGGTGGTTTTGTCATGCCTGTAGCAAGCTCCCAACATTCAGTGCAGATTTGGATGTGCACTGTTTAGAAAATGAGGGTCTTTGTGAACAGAAGCATTGAAGAATTCTATTAAAAGATGTCATGTCCAAAGGAATCAAAGAGAAAGAGGTGGGACCTGGGTTATGGTCTGTAATATACAGGGTACAATGCAGGTGCAGGATATGGTCTCTAAAAGACTGAGGCTTTATATTAAGTAAACTGCACCACACAGACAGATAATTCAGAGGAGATCAATTATAATAACATTTGGGTTGCTCTGGAGGGACCTAAGTCATGAACACAGTAAACCAAGAGGGGGAGAGAACTGGGAGGCTGGCAGATAACAGTAAGAGGAAGGTGTAAAAGGATTTTAGGAAGGCTGGTATGACTGGGGTGCATGGAAGACCTTATAGATCAGAAGCAGCTTGAGTTTCTCTTACAAGATGAAAGGGAGCCAGGGAAAGTACTTGAAGAAACATTTAGGGGACCTCACTTCGAGTTTGTGCATGAGGGAGAGTTTCACATCAAGGATTGTTTCTTAAGACAGAGACCTGGCATGAAGCAACTCCCCTCTGTATCCTACATCTTCCCTGGGATATTTATGTGGCAGTGCTCACTGCGATCATGTTAAATTCCCTGGAGAAGTAGGGGGATGGAGCAGAGATGGAGATAAGGTCCTTTCTTGATAGCAGTACTGGGACTTATTGGTCTGAAATTGGATTGGCACCAAGTAGCTCCTTCTTCCCCTGTCTTATGACATTTAAGTGAAGGCAGCTTTGGACTGATCATCCTGAAGAACAAGAAATCTCTTGGCTATGCTCTTTCCAAGTTTATACTCACTGGGCACGTCTACATGTGTAATTAATGTGAAGCAATAAATTCGGGAACGATTGCATATGTGCCCAGGACCACAGTACACTGAGCTGGGCTGGAGCAGCCCTGGCTGGCAGGAGCCCTGGAGGGCCAGCCTGCCAATCTGGGGCTGCTCCCCTGGCTCAGTGTGCTGCAGAGGGGCAAGCTGTGGCACAAGGGTGCTTCAGTGTGGGGCTAGCCAGCAGGCAGCCAGTGCACTGAAGGGCCTTCATGCCCCAGCCAGCTGGGGCAGCATCTACACGTGCACTACTGCAGATTTTTTTTACTCTGCAGCAGGATAGTACTTATATTTACAAATACCATCCTGCTGAGGCGTAAATTAGTTTGATCCAGCCTAATAGGGTGCACGTGTAGTCACGTGACATTTACTGTGCAGCTAATCAGTCTATTATACAGTAAACCTCTCATGTAGATGCGCCCACTGAATAACTGCCACATGCTTATTCAAGCTATGTTGTAGTAGGACATAACAGGTTCCTGAAGGCAACAACAACAAGGTTAGGAGCATTTTTAGGGGTTTCTGGAAACAGAAAATGTTGATTGGAGCTAGGCATAATGAGGCCAGAGCTGACCAAACAGAGGGTGTATGAAAGCAGTTGGAGAAAGGAAGTAGTGTTATCGTTGTTTCACAGATGGAGTGAGTTAGGCACAGACAGTTTATGTGACTTGCTTAGGGACCCTCTGGAAGTGTGTGGCAGCCTCAGAACCAAGAACTGAATTCACATCTCTTGAATCCTTGAATCCAAGGTGTTAACTCAATGCCTTAACTGTCTTCCTCTCTGCTGTTTAGCATGCTCCATTGCAAATATATTACTTGTAATAATATTGATTCCCTTTTGAAAGGGGCTTCTGTGGTAATGAAAGGCTACAGAAGACAGTGTAGAACATTATTATTGTTTCTGGTACGGTGCAGGTGGGAGAATGTGTAGGCATAACAGAGCTAGCTTGGGCACTGAAGGCAGGGGGTCAGCACAGGTGCCTCTGTGGACTGCAGAAACCCACCATGGATGCTGCCTGTATACTAGGCTGCTAATCCATGTGACTGCATCTTCACCCATTCTGGCAGTGGAGTTAAAACTCACATGGGTGAGCCTGCATATGCTGCAGTTACACCTCTGAAGTGTAGTGTAAGCACAGCCACAGGAAGAGATTGTGTGAGATATCAGGGAACCTAGCTCTGGTTGGAGAAGAGAAAGGAAACCAGCTCACCTACCTCGCCAAAACATATTGGGTCCCAACTAATTATGCGACTTGTGGAATGGGCAATGGCCAGACACTGGAGCCAACTGAGCTCTGTTTATGTTAGATTCTGCTTCCTGCTTTAAGTCAAGTGAGTTGGACCACTTTGGTTACTGAAGCTGAAACACTGTGATTACTAAAGTAGTACATGGCACTACTGTTAGAGTCAACAGCTCCTCCTGTTCTACCCCACCTTGGCAACTTCACTGCCATGTTTTTCAAGGACTGGCATGGGACTTTGGTGAGACTTTGGTGGGTCCTTCCGAAGTGGGAAAAGCTCAAAATAGACAAGTTCAAGGGTCCTCAGAAGTGCTTCAGAAGGCCTTGATATTAAGCCAAGCCTCAGTATTACCACAATCTGAAGAAAATCTGGTTTTCAGTTGTCTGTTCCTAGCTAATGTTTGCCCATCATCTGTGACAGAGTCTCCAGCCTCTCTCCTCTTTGTCTCTCCTTTCTCTGAGCCTGCCTTCCCTCTTCCTAGACCACTTCTACTCTTTCTCCACTCTCTGGTGCCCACCCATCATTTCTTTAGTTTGCTATTCTGCTCTGAGGTCTTTTACTTCCTGCCAAGGGCCCCATCCTGACACAGCCATTCCTGGTAAGGATTTTTCTAAATGTATTCATTCTTTCTTTAGAGTTGCAAGCTTTTGCCCACCATGGACGTCCACTGCCAAGATTCCAGGTTGCTCTGTGTTTTGGAGAGGAATTTCCAGACCCACAAAGGCAGAGGAAGCTTATTACAGCCCATGTAAGTATGATTTATGCATTTTTTTTTTAGTTTCAAATGACGGGATGGGCAGTTGCCAGGCAGCCTTCTCTGCCTCATATCCTTAAGTTTGGAGAGAGGCACTAAACCCTGAAGGTACAAAAGGATACAGTACTGGGACTTGAAAGACCTAGTTTCAGTCCCCAGCTCTACCAGTGGTCAGCTGGGTGACCTTGGTCAAATCCTTTCTCTTCTTTTTGATTCATTGGCCTTTGTTGACAAGTGATTTGAGCTCTCCAGATGATTACTAGCTATGGTAGGATGATTACTAGTTCTAAATGGAAGTTTGACTTGTATTATGTGGTAAATGCAATGCTAGTAGGCATGGCCTTGAATATAATATAATGATGTAGCTGCTGAAACAGAAAAAAGCAGAATAATTGTACTCCAGAATCTTAGCTTTCATCTAAAACCACTCCAGAGTTTTTGGCAGCCCTGCTACAAAAGGTGATAAGCACTTGTCAGTGCCAGGCCACAGTGTTGGCAGCCCTCTGAGGATAGTTTGCATGCACATGAAGCTACTGGTTTAGGTCTCTTGGCAGAATTTACTGCTTTGGGTTGCTCTTGGTTCACATTTTGAAGTTATTTTATTAATCCTCAATTTGTCCTATACTGCACACATTTGCATATGTTCCCTGCAGCAAGGCAGCTGCACTGGTGGAAACTAAAATCAGCTATTTTCCACACTGACCTATAAAACCTGAGTTCCACCAGGGAGGGAATGTGCACGGTGTAAGGCAGGAGACTTCCAAAAGTCATTCAGCTGTTAAAATGAGGGGCTTCAGATAGATTATCTTCAAATATTGCTTTCCCTTAACTAATTATGTAGCTCTCTGCCTGACTACATGTCTCCCTTTGATACCCATAGAAGACTAGTTACAGCTTCTAGGTTGTTTTGCTCTCTTTCCCAGACATCTTCTATCTGAAAAAATATCTCCCAATCCTGGTCAGCTTTTCCTCCCCTTCAGATACCCTCCAGTCAGACTCTAATGTGGACCTCTGGGTTGCCGGGGGAGTATCAGGGCAAAAACTCAGTGGAGTAGTTTTGTTAGCAAAGTTGCCAAGACTCTTCACTCTTTTCTGAGGCTCACAACTTCCCTCTTGTTTCTGCATAAGCCTCTAAAAAACACCCCCCCACAATCTTTCCCTCCTTCCCTTCTGCATTCTGCTCTCTAGTCTCCCTGCAGGGCCCCTTTCTTAGAGATAACGTGTTCTCCCATCCTAAAGGCTCTCCTCTGTGCCTACTTCCTCAGTACCTTTTAGTGAGTTTGTGCCCTCTGGCAGCCAGAACTGGCTGTTCATTCTCTTCTCTGGCGTTAGCTCAGCTCCTGTCTGGCTGTGGTCCCTCTGTTCTGCACTCTACAGAGCTGGTGGAAGAACAGGGAGGGAGGAAGCTGAGGCTTGGTGGAGCACTCAGCGAGAGTATCCCCTACGAGCAGGAGGCCATAGCTGCCTCCTTCCTTCTTTACCAATCAGCCCAAATGTTAATGCAGGGAAGGGCCACCAGTCCCCTTTCCTCTTCCAGATAGAAGCTGAAATCTGGAGAGGACATGTTATACTCCTCCCCCACCAACCCCCCAAGTTTTGACGTCCTTAGATCAACGTGTTTAAATGACTAGCAGATCACTGACTGAGAGCCAGGCTGGCCTATGGGAAAAATCTGTCTCAAAACAAACTTTCCCCATCTCATTTATAAGTAGATCCCAAAGATTTTGTATACTGGCATTTGCATTTAAATATTTAAGGCTAAGGGCCCTTGGTGCTGATGAGACTGGGGAGGAGAGTTGTATACAAGCGTTGTACACAAACAGCCCTCTTAACTGGTACAGAATTAACATGTACCTTAATATGAATGGGATGACTGCAAACACAGTAGAATTAAATTTAGAAAGATTGACTTTTTGGCAGTGTGTCTAAAGCATTACTGACTCCACAGCTATAAACATTTTAAGTTTATAGATGTAGACTCAGAGGGTAAGGGAGAGATTGTTGGTGTTAATCATGTGGAAGTGTGCACATGAGTTTGGATGTACCTAATTTAGGCATGGAAATACTTGCTGGGGGCATAGATTCACAGATCAGGCATTGAATGTACTAGCTAGCTTTGCAGAAATGAATGGTTTGTGCACCAGCTATTTGAAGATATACATATAAAGCGTGTGCAGATATATTTGTGCCAATAAGCTTAAAAATCTGCAGCTGTATCTAAAAGGCGAGCTCAATGAGAGTATAGTAAATTTTCTTTCCAGTTCCATACACAGAACTGGGTTTGTCTCGTTTCTCATGTTAATTTCTAGCAACTAGCTAAGATGAATGACATGGGTCATTTTATCATGTGTCTGATTAATTTTTTTTATCTGTTGTTAAGGTTGAACCAATGTTTGCAAGGCAGCTGTATTATTTTGCTCAACAAAACAGTGGGCATTTTCTGAGAGGCTATGAACCTATACCAGAACATGTCACTAGTCCAGAGGATTACCACAGATCTATTAGCCATTCCTCTATTCAAGAATAAATGTTGCAGAATGAGCACTTTCACAACGGTGTAAAGATTGTGCATAATGGAAGATCACATCTGGATCAAATTTTGGAGCTGAATTTCTCCAGAAAAAACAAAGGGTTAAAGATCTGAAACTCAGCTACACTGACAATGTTGTCTAATATGAAAGTTGGGTCTTCAACATTTGGATGATGATGTATCTCACAGATTCTGCTGTTGCTGGGGATACCTGAAAACTGACACATTGATTGATATGTTTACATTTGTTTAAACATGCTTCATGGTTTTGAGGACAATTTCTTAAGGCTTAAATCCAGGGATTGCAACAAGATATTTGCAGTTATTTATTTGTGATCGGAAATCTCAGGGAAGGCTAATGTGTTTGCAATATTCCCAGCATGAAGCTGTAGTTAGGACAGAAAAGGCTGTACCCATTCGGTGTAGCATTTGTAGGTTATATGGTGAATAGTTATGTGCATAAATGTTAATAATTTAGCTTTATAAGCAGGGTAGAAATTTTATTCCTATATTCTTCTATGAAATGTATCAGTGGGATTGTTTTTATGATCAACTGACATTTCTCCTCACAGTGAATTTCATCGCTGTTATTGGATTGCTATCTAGGGGCATTTTTACATGTGTAAGCACTGCGGTGCTGGGTGCTTTAAAAAGCACCCAAAGCTGTGACACTTGCAGTTATATAAGTGGCAAAATCCGCATCAGCCCAAAGAAAATGGTGGCGGTGTGCTTTTGAACTAAAACACCTAGGGTAGCAGTTGTCAGGATGGTAAGCTTACAGTTATGTGTTATGAGTCTGTAGTTCACAAAACCTTTTGCTATTTGTATTGCAGGTATGACTACTGACATGATTCTAAACATGAGAAGAGTAGGTTTTTTGAGAAAATAGCTATAAACTTTTATAACAGTTTGCTTGTCTTTGTACATGTATATTAGGGTTGTGCGAAACGGCACCGTTTCTTTTCAAATTTTGTTTTGCTTTGAAACCGCTGTTCTGTTTTGTTTCGTTGACAGAGTTTCGCTGTTTTGATGTTTCACCCATGGGCTACGATGGGGAAGCTCAAAACAGCCTATAACTTTGTCATTTCTGGCCTGATTTGGATGAAACTTGCAGCAATGGTAGCCTCTTCTGAGGGCATGAAGCCTGCCAAGTTTCAGGGAGATAGGTGGAGGGGTTTCAGGGAAACTGCACCTCAAAATCTTGAAAGCAAAACTCATGTCATGTTAAGCCACAGCAGAGTCAAAACTGCAGGCATGCTAGCCCCTGCTGAGGCAATGAAGCCTGCCAAGTTTCAAAGAGATAGGTGCAGGGATATGGGGGAAACTGCATCTCAAGCTGCTGACAAGCAAAACTCATGACATGGGTAACACTGTGTGTGTTAAGGCACAGCAGGGTGAAAACTGCAGGCATGCTAGCCCCTGCTGAGGCCACGAAGCCTGCCAGCTGTCAAGGAGATAGGTGCAGGAGGAGTCTGGGATCTGGGGCCCTGCACCCCTAGCTGCTGACAGGCAAAACTTGTGACACAAGTGGGTGACACTGTGTGTGTGTTAAGGTGCGTCCTCACTCAACTGACACCAAGGCAGAAAGCAGGGCAGTTCAAACAATGCTGCCTTTTATGCAGTTTTTCCATCCCTCCCCCAGAGCACTGGGATTGGAAGGGACCTCAGGGAAGAATCACAGTCACTGGCCAGCTACACAGTCAATAGTGAGAGCAGTCCTTCCCCCTCTCCTCCCTCCCTCTCTGACTTTAGTTTCTGTTTCCCTGCAGGCAAGCTCAGCTTGAGCTTTGAAAAGTTTCAAAAATTTCAAAATGTTTCAACTTTCCTCATTTCATTCTGAGGCTGTTTCAAAGCTCTCTGTTTCATTTTGATCTTGCTGTTTCGAGCTGAAAACAAGTTGAAACAGTGTCGAAACATAACTGCCGGTGAAATTTTGCACAGCCCTAATGTATATATGTATATGTTAGAGGAGAGTTCATTTGAGCAGGTATGCTTCAAAGATGTTAGAGTTAAGAGAGCCACCTTGTATTAACTTCCAAGGTGCATATGTTAAATATTCAAAGAGTAGATTTCTTACTTAGGTCCAGATTCTGTCCTTGGGTATGTACTTACAGCTCCCCCCCCATTGGTATAGAAATCTGTGGGAGCCATTTGCCCAATAATGAGAAGAATTTGGACCGTATTGCTTAACAGTGTTGGATAATATCTATCCCTCCTTTTGCTTTGAAAAGGGAAAAACATGTATTCAAGGGATTTGTAGCTTACTTATGGGGGAGTGCTGATCACAATGATCTTTTCTGGCCTTAAAAATCTGTGATTCTGTATTACTTATGCTGGAACACAGTCATATCCACAGTTGGAAAGGTACTTTGTGTGTGTATCTAGCCAGGTAAGATATGTATTTGGCCTAGCAGCAGACTCATGTTCTAGGGAACTTAAATTTATACATCTTAAAGATGCATGCTATTTTTGGGATATATTATCCTCTTCTTACTGCTGCCACTGCTAAAAATTTTTCTGGATTTTTTTATGCTGTTCATTATTTGAAATGCATTTCATGACTTCTGGGTTGGCTTAAAGCAGGGGTATCAAACGACCCCATGGATGTCCAGCTTCTCCCCTCCCCCATGCCAGATCCACTGCATGTGGCATCCATTCTGGGAACCTAAGTTGGTCCCTAAGCCATCAGAGTCCCCATGGGTTTGGCCACTGAAATAACACCAAATATGACAAAACCCTGATTTTTAAAGGGAGTCCCCAGTGGTAGAGTCTGTTTTCAGCATCACTGCAGGTTAGAAAGTTATTGAAGCGTCTGGCCAATTCCTTAAGCTTGTTGTTTTTAAGCTGATACTAATTTCCTTTGGAAAATTAAAAAAAAATAAAATCAGTGCTGGTAACTCCAAACTTTGCTGCCATAGAAGTACAGCTGACTGTCGTCAGAAGCCAAATTATGTCTTATGTGAGAACAAGAATGGTAATGAGCTATTAACAGATTAGTTTGAATCATTCTGGCACGGGGTGGGGCAGGAACATTCAAATTGTTCTATCCAGTATGTAAAGATCACAGCCTGACAATTTGATGTGTTTTGGAGAAAGAAGGATAAAGAAACCCTGGAAGTGTATACAGCCGCTGAAACGTTCCATGTATGGAGAGTTCATAGTTGTTCATTGCTGTTCATAGATTTTTTAGCATAGTTTAGTGTCATGTTCTTCTAAAAGATAATTGTACTGAGCTAAATGTTTGTAATGTGGTACATTCCAGAAAAGCAGGGAATCACAATTCTATCATGAAAAATTATAATAAAGTAGTTTTCTAAAACTTATTCCATGTTTTATTTGATGATGGCTGTGGAAGTGAAGTACTTTCCAAGCATACAGTGGGCACGTGTACATGTGCACTGGACTGCACAGTAATTGATGTTACTGTGCAGCCCTGATGCCACACAGGTAATTTCTGACAGTACTGCGGAGTAGTGTTGGCATCATGGTTTGTGCCTGCCGATGCTGTGGCAATGAGCTACAGCAACGTAGCATCTTGTGTAGACATGCCCACTGGGTCATGAGAGCCAACCTCATGAGGACTTACTGTAGGTAGGTTAGCAGAGCTGTTATGCTAATGGCACTTGGGCCCTGATTTAGCAAAGCACTTACATTGCTCTGAGTTTTGTGTCTGTACCTACGTTCATTCCTCCTCCGAGAAGCAAGAGAAGAGGAGCTAGGACAAAAATAAAGGAAGATCATCACACTGGAAAGGCTCAGATTAAACAGCAGGAACTGATTTAGGTGAACTGCAATGATAACCAGCAATGTAACAACAGCACATATCACATAGCAGCCAAGAGAAGAATCTAGAGGTTACATGAGAGACTTAAAGTCTCTGTATGCAGCATTTCCTACAGACCAGGGCAAGAGTTATTCAATTTTGGAAGAAGATTTTAATTATTCTCATGGGCAGGAGGCTGGGGTAAAGTCAGACTTTGCTGAAGAAGAAGGGTTCAAAAAGAAGAACTGCATCCTGCAAGATGGTGGCTATATGATCCGGTCTATTGGTAGCAGAGGATAACTTCCAGGTGAAACTACTTAAACAAACCCAGACATGGGTAAGAAAAAAAGAAAAAAAAAGAAATGTGTCTGTATAATTTAACTGTGGATTACAATGCCTATCAATTTTTAAGTACTGTATTTGCCTTATATGACTGGTCTTTATTGTTCACAATAACCAAGGATAATTAAACTGGAAAAAGAATAACCCTGAAAACATTTTCTCCTCTCAGTGTTTTTACCCAGTCACTAACATGAAAGTGCTTGAGGTACTTCCTACTTCTGTTAAATTCTGTTTATAGTTTCTGAGGTCTACTTCCTTCCTGTTAGGATTTCAGTGGCATTATATCTGAAATATTTTACTCCTAGCAAAGACTGATGAGAAAGACTGATTGGGTTTCAGATCAATTCCACTGTAATATATCAATATTGTGATCTCACTCCTATGTACATACAGTTATAACTATAGTTCTCTCTCTCTCTCTCCCTTTTTCAATTTGGCTTGGTATTGCTTTGTGAAGTGCTTCAGCCTAGTGTTTAAAAGTGCATTAGCACCACAGGGGATGTAGGTTAACCAGAAAGAGAAGATATATTTTAAGTTGAAGTACAACGTAACAGAGCTTGTGGAAAAAACACAGGATTCACGTGAAAACCCCCATGGCCTTTTAAATAGGCAGACGTATGCTGTTTACATCAGCATTTGTCAGCAAAGTGGAGGCGGGGAAACACCATTTTCAGCAAAGAGCTTTCAGGAAAAAGTAAAGCATTCTGTTACCCCAGATCATTGTCTCTTCTAGAATTTCTAGATAAGAAATATAAGATTCTTTTTAATTAAAGTAACTTACTACAATCCTGCTTTTTCCTTTCTCAGAAAAAATGTATGCAATTTATGTCAAGGTGGGCTGGACTGTGGTATTTTCATATGAACAAAATGTCTGATCTGCCTCTTATTAAGCTTATAATAAATTTCTATTTCAAATCCAGCAAGGGCTACTTTTTAAAAGGAGGGCGTTTGTTTAACTTTACATTGACTGGATCCAAGAAAAAGAGGTTTAAAGACCCTGTGCATATATAGGCTGTTAGAGGCTCATCATGCAGCACAGTATGAAGCTAAGATGCATTTAGACTCAAGAGGTTTAGCTAGAAAATCATTTTTATATACTTAAATAATTCCACAAATGTAGCGGGGCTGTATTTATGGCCCCATACATGTGTTACACTTAAGGTGTGATTAACCAGTTAATTTACCATAAGTAGCCACCTGGCCACACATTAATTTGATTAACAACGCGATAAAATAAATAAGCTAGAAGTTATTCCATGAAATATGTAATACCTTTGTAGCTACTTCCTATCACCCCATTAACTGAATGCATGGCCGGGGCCCCTCTGGCAGGGAGCCTGCTCAGCTGTTTGGGTCTCCCAGCAGACAAGGCTTCTAGCTGCACTGGGGCCCCATGCACCCCTGCAGCTGGGGGACCGTGGCTGATGTGATCTCCCAGTTGCAGGGGTGTGTGGTGTACCCCCATGGCTGGGAGACCACATGGGCTGCAGTTTCCCAGCCACAGGGATACGTGTGTGGTGTATCCCCATGTCTGGGAGATGGCATGAGCTGTTGTCTGCCAGCTGCTTGGGTACATGGTGCTGAGGGGACTCCCAGCCACAGGAGCTTGCTTCTTACTGGCACGGGGGGTCCTGGGCTGGGGATCTGATTTGTGATTCCACAATCACACCTCCAGTTAGGCATGTGTGGCAGGAGGCACACTTGTGTGGAATGTGATTTAGACCCCATCACACCTGTACCTGCACATGTAGGGGGCCCTGTGTGCCTGAGGGCAGAAATTGCTTGAAATTTTGAATACTGAAAGAGAGGCTTCTTCCTGGAAGGCACATTCAAGGAGCAGCTAACACACTGTCTTC